TTTACTCTACTTTGCATTGGATCATTGCTTAGTATTGCTTTAACTAGTTGTGCTTGGTTCTTGATTCACTTAGGTTGATAGTTTAGTTGTGTTAAACAACAAATCTTCTCTGAATTCACTTGACTTAAGGTTTTCTGCTCATAATTCTATTGACATCTATTCATAACTCATTTGGATTGATAAAACCTTATGATATACTACAGCTGATTAGTACAAGCAGGCTGATTGACCAAGAGAGTGAACTTCAAGCCGAGTTGCTCGTGACCCAGGACCAGCTCGCGGAGGCGTAGACTTCCGCTCGGGGGGGGGGGGGGGGGGGGGGGGGGGGAGGAGGATCTTAGCATGGTGGTAAAACGCTTGAAAACGGTGTTGTCCGACAGCCAATGGGATTTGGAGACATGTGTCTTCAAGGTGCGGATGCTTTGTGAGACCCTCATAGTGTACTGGGGCTTTACTCCGAGCGCAGAACCTGGCGTCGTGCTGATGGCAGTGCAAGTCTTCTCCAACAGACAGACGACGATCGGCCGACTTCGGCATGAGCTTGAGGAGGAGCGTTGCCAGGACGCGTCACGGGGAGCGGACGCTTCGGGCGCAGAAGCAGGTGTGATGAGGCGTGCCTCCATCATCATCGGTGGGCCTTCGCGTCTGCCAGACTTTTAACCAAAACCTTCTTTTTTTTCTTTTCAGGGACCTTTGTCCCTTGTAAAATATATTCTCGTACTCTAAGATCTGATGGCCGCTTTTCTGGCCTTATAAGTTGCTCTTTGGTTAATTTGCACCTCGTTTGTCTTTTATGCGCCTTTCTTAGTTCATTGCTTTGTTTTGTGGTAAATCTGGTACTTTGACTTCGGGGCATGCGTGAACACGGCTTCGAGGTCTAAAGTCTTGAGACGCAGGGTTGTCCCGCATAACTTGTCAGAGGTAGGGACCTTTGTCAAGCTCTTGGTCTTCGCGGGCCTTTTCTCATATAGTGTGCTCTTCGTGCAGTTGAGCCACCTTGGTTGCTTCCTTCGTGGAACTCCTCACCGGTGATCCCTCCTCCTTCTAGCCAAATTGTTCGGGAGCATTTTACAGGATGCCACGTGGGAGTGTGTCATTCATCTGGGTAGTGGAACTATGCCTCCAAAATTCGTCCTCTGGGGGAAAGGCGATGAGTCGTTCTGGGACGGAAGCCTGTTTAAGTCATTCGGGCATAGACAAAACCTGATCGAATCCTGCGGGCACTACACGAAGAGTCAGTCGGGCTTTCAGGAGGACCGGATGGGGATTTCCCTCCTGAAGGTTCTCTGATGCCCAAGTCGAAGAACGCCCTATCGGGAACAGATACTCAGGAGGGTGATTCTACAAGTTTAAGGTTAGACGTCTCGTCCGAAGATTGGGTCACCTTTCTGTTTAGCGGGTATTTCGGAAGGGTTCTATAACGAAAGGAGTGATAGCGAGTATAAAGGCATGGTTCCAGGTTAAAGAGGGACTTATCCTGTTTGGTGTTATCTTAGAGAATGGGGTGTTCCTTTTCGACTACGCTGCATGGTGGTGCCTGCCTTCTCTGGGACGGGGTCGGATCCTTCCTCCTTAGATTGAACTCTATGAAGATCTCTCCTTTGATCTCTACATCTTTCTCTCTAGATTGAGCTCTCTCTCTTTCTTTCTTTGGCCTCCTTCTCTGGGTCCGGCCTCCTTTTCTCTCTTGTAAGGATACCTCTCTTTTTATACAAGTATTCCCCGTCTTGTCCCGTATGTGCGGCGTACCAGAGGAGCATTTGGGTTGGTGGCGCATGCGTGATTCGAGAAGCTCGCCAACTGCCCGGGAATAGTATGCTAGAGAGTTGTTGGCCGAGCAAGCAGGTTGTGTCATCGTTTAGGGTAGTTAGGCTAGTTCAGCGTGTGGTGATATTCTTGGTCGTGGTAAAACCGGATCTAGTAGAAACATTGTGTAAAAAAATAATTAATATGATGTTATTTTTGGTTTACAATAGAAAGAAAAAGAATATCTTTATAATTAAATATTAAATTATGTATATATAATTGATATAAATTATGGTCTAAAAAATTAATATAAGTGGCAGATGATGTAATCATATATATAATTAGTCAAATATCTCTCCAATGAACCTATCCACATCAGCAAATTTTAATTTTAAAAATGGACTCCTAAATATTTTGGATTTTGTTTTTAAGCTTTTATATTTTGAGTATTTATTTTTGGACTTTTAATATGATTAATTTAAAGTTACAAACAAATATATATTTTACAAGTCATAAAAATTACAAATTTTTTATTTGTGAAAAAAAGAAAACACCTACAAAAGATGACGGCATAACTTACATAAAAATAATTATCAAATTTTTTTTATAAAAAAAGCCTTATGTATAAAGCTAAAGTAAAATCAATCATATAAAAATGCTTATTTTACAAACCATAATAACATAAATTCTCTATGAATTAAAAAACTTTAAAAATATTATTTTGAATAGAAATCAATAAAATATAAAAAAAAGTTGCAAAGTGAACAATTACTAAAGATGACATAAGCAGTTGTGGAGAATAGTTATCAAACTTTTTAAAAACAAATCTCAGAAAGATTAATGCATTAAATAAAAAAAATAATTCATATCTACTTTACTGTGTAAAATAGATGAATTTTTTCCATGAAAAAAAACTAATATGTTTAATTATATAATATAGAAATAAGTTTTATTTATACGAAGACGAAAAAGGCAAATATTTACCAATAATTTTTTCTTAACAATGACAATATAAAGTTGATATTCGATGAGTTAACTCATCAGCTGGATAATATATAAATTTTAATATAAAGTATATAAATAAACTAAAATAAGATTATTGATTATGTTTTTAATAGAATCAAGTCGTTTATCTCCATATGACATAAAAATAGACAAAAATATTTTCACATGTGTTTGTAAATATTTTTAGGTAATTCATCATCATCAGATGAATGAACACATCAAAATTATTTTTCGAAAGATGACAAACGCCTCAAAACAATTAAAATCAACAGTTTATCAAGTAAACATAATTTTTTATATAAAAACCTATCAAACCTATGTAACAAATATTTAGATCTCTTGCTCTGTTTTGCTAACTCTAACTACAATTCCTATCATTTAGAGTTACAACCAATCATATAATTGAATAAGACAGAAACTTGTATGAAATAAGAGAAATATCCGTAGATTCTAATCAAAATAGTAGGACTAGGAGCAATAGGAAAAGAAAAAAAAAATGAATGATTATTTGTGCTTCAAAATGAGTTATATGTTTTTTAAAATCGGATAAAAAAATAAGGGAACATTTAGTTTAGAGTGGGGAGGGATCGATAAAGTTTTACTTTGTTGATTTGTGAAAATAAACTGTAGCAAAAAATCAGAAACTAATTAAATACAAATAAACAGTTAGGACACAGTTAGGCAAGCTGTATTCTTTACACAGTCTCTCATGGAATGGTTATACGAAAACTTGTCTCAGAGTAGCGCAGGACAGGGATATGAGTGGGGAACACTGTTTGCAATGACAGTCTGGTGGAATTGGAAGTGGAGATGTGGTAATGTGTTTGGAGTTACGGGGAAGTGTAGAGATAGGGTGCGCTTTGTAAGAGAACTCGTCGTGGATGTTATAAAAGCACATTCTAAAATACGAGGTCGATCCCAAGCGGTACAGAGGGTGGAGAGGAACATAAAGTGGATATTACCAACAGATGGGTGGTTGAAGCTAAATACGGATGGGGCATCACGTAGTAATCCCGGGGACGCTACTGCTGGAGGGGTCTTGCGTGATGAGGAGGGTCAATGGCGTGGGGGTTTCGCGCTGAATATTGGCATATGCTCGGCACCTTTGGCGGAGCTATGGGGAGTGTACTATGGGCTATGTATTGCTTGGAAGAAACGAGTGGCGAAGTTAGAGACTGAAGTGGATTCTGAGATTGTGGTGGGGTTTCTAAAGTCTGGCATCAGTGACGCCCATCCTCTCTCTTTCCTAGCATGTCTGTGATATGGCTTACTTTCACGAGACTGGTCAGTCCGCATTTCACATGTTTATAGAGAAGCGAATCGTCTTGCAGATGGTTTAGCTAATCTTGCCTTTACTTCACCTCTAGGTATTCATGTTTTTGATTATGTACCGGACACCCTTTCATTTATCATGTTAGATGATGAGAATGGTGTTGCAGGATCTCGATATGTACGTTTGTGATTTTCGAGTTTGAAATAAATAAGGGGAGATTTTCGTTTTCTCTCCTCGACAAAAAAAAAACAGTTAGGATACATATAATACTTATTGGAGTGCATCAATATATGAGAGATTTTTTTAACAATTACATAATACATCATAATATATATTAGAAAAAAAAAATTACCTTATAATTAGGACAATTTTTTTAAAAAAAAAAAAAATATAACACACTATTATATATAATGAATATATTTACATAACAATAATATAAATATAAAAAATTAAAGTTAAATTAATAAATAATATGCAATGGACAGATCAAAATCTAGTTATTGTAGTAATAATTTTTTTTTTTAAAGTTTTATGAAAAACTATGGTGTTGATACAGCAACAAAATTGCACAATTATAATTAGTTACAAAAATAAAATTATTTTTAAAAATATTTCTCAATTAATTTATAGAGAATTTAGTCAGATCAAAATAAAATAAATAAATCAAATTAATGAGAACCCAATAAACCAAAAATAAATCAAACCAAGGAAATCAACAATTCATTAAGAATAAAAAGGTAAAAAAAATCGCTGAAAATGAACTTGTATAGTAGAATACTTAAGATTTGCACTTCCCAAAATAATAATATAGATTTCACCTAAATTCCCTTTTAGAAATTTGATTTTTTTTCCTATTGAAAATATGCCGACTTGGAAGAAACACGCGCATTTCATACAACAATATTTTCGATTTGAACAAGAAAAAAAATCTCGGAATAGTTATAAAATTAACCAAGCATCAAGTACTCAAAGCATATTAAGTAGTCCATTCCTCACCAAGACCGTAAGCATCTGTGTAACCAGCATGCGCATGCCCGTGGTCATGATGACGGTCATGGTCACCACCCTTTGCTTCATCTAACATTTTCTGAACATTCTCCGGAATAGGTTCTTCAGAGACCCTTCTGTTGGATTTTGGGAGTAGAGAGACAAAATCAGCAATGTAATCTGCAAGCTCGCCGGATTTGCTTTCCTGCATCATCAAAATCAAGTTTTCAAACCCGAAAAACGCGATCAAACCAATAAGTAAAAGAACAAAAGAATCCACGGTGAATTTTGAACTCGTGTAAAGACTCTCATATACATACCCATCAATGATACAAATGCCAGTAAGAAATACAAATGACACCTCAACAAGTTTATCTAATCAATGATAAACCCACAGGTTTATGCTCTATAAACGACACAAACATAGAAGCTATAGAGCTAAAGATGCTCTGCTCATATCCATGGAGAGAGCACGATGACAAAGAAACAAAACTGAAGGAAAACAGAGTCTATTCAAGACAATAATCAGATCTTATCAATGTTAAACTCAATGATAGTTGATTATGATGCTCTAAATTCTAAAATTGGGTTAGGTTATAACCTTTCCTCATTACATACTAGAGTTCATTTTACTAAAAGCACAAGAAGGTCCGCTTTTTGTGCAATTCTACAAAGCTAAAAATGACTTTAAAAGTCCGATGAATCTCTAACCTGAGGCCATCTGCTGCCTGAGTGAGTAACAAACTTTGCCTTTGGAAGACCCTTAGCTACACATTGTCCTTCCTCGGTCCATTCTTTAGACCCTTCTCTAGACCAAATCACTTGCATCGGGATACCGTTGATCGCATCCGAGTTACCCCACTGTGCCATGTCAAAGCTATGGTTAAGCTTCTTCAATGAACCAACAACAGCTTCTCTCCCGTTTCGTCCCTTCAATAGTACCCTATGAGCTTCGATTTGCGATAAAGTCATCTCCTTTGAGCAACGGAAGCTCACTAGTTTCTTAAACCCAAACGAAAACCCTAACAAGACCTCTCTGATTACAGGTACATTCAAAACCCACAAGGGCAATGCCGGGCTAATACTGGAGTCGATAAGCGTAATACTTCGAACATTGGGTGAATTCTCGGAGACCCAGTTTGATGCTAACCCTAGAGCTGAATCATGAAGAACCAAATGAACAGGAGATAAACCCAATGTATCAATCACTTGACCTAAAACCCTTGCCGTTTCTTCACTCCCTAATTCAATAGCTTTTAAGCTTCTCCTTTTCGAGTTCTGGAGTTTCATGATTTCCTCGTAAGGCAAATCTCCAGTTTCAATCATCTGATCAAACGCCCAGAAAACGCCTTTCTCTTGAATCAGACCATAAACTTCCTTAAGTCTAGCTACAAACCCTATTTCTTTATCTCCACCAACCACTACCATCGATTTATCAGAAAATCCATTTCCGGGTAAATCAATAGCCACACCATGAATCCCTCTTGATCCGAGCGACTGGATCATCTCCCGAAACGCGTAAGAGCTAAGACCTAACCCATGAACGATTATCACTTTCTCTGGCTGAATCGAACCAGATTCAGCTACAAAAACCTCGATCAGTGACTCGTCAGGGTTTACCTGGACTTTGATTGTTCGTCCTTCTGAGTAATGTTGACGGAGAGCTGGTGGGAGTGAGAGAAACCAGGATCTAGGATCGTTGGGAGAAGCAAAAAGAGAGAGTGATACGAATATGAGAGTGGCGAGTGAGGAGACGAGTGTGAAGTAGAACCAAAAGGGGAAAGGGTTTTGAGATTGAGATTGGGGTTTATGATGATTCGTCATGGCTGAATCTGATTTTTTCTGAGGAGGAACTAAGGTTTTGGATTCCTCTTCTTCTTCTGTGATAATCGCCATTAAAGAAAGCTTTGGAAAGCAGAGTGTGAATGAAAGTGAGAAGTGGAGCTGTCTTTCACAGGACTTTTCATAGTAAAAGTGAAAAGAGGAAACTTTCCATTATTGACATCACTCAGGCGTGTTTTTTGTATGAATTTTAGTTTTAATATCAATACTGCAATTGGACAATAATGTATTCACACAGAATATTATGATACTCGGATGCTAACAGAGATTCGAGAGAACTTTTGTATATTTTTTTTATGAATTGCACAAAATACAAAGTTATTTTGTTTGAATCTTGTGAAAAGTTATGAATTCGACAACCTCATCCGTTATTCGTTTATATAGAGATTAGAAACATCAAGTTTGATGTACATGCATAATAGCAATGGATCCACACAGATATATACACACGCATGTCTCTTTATGCCTCCTCACGTCTTTCTTCATTCACTTTAAATGACATTTGAAATGGTCTTTGTATTTTGTAAAGCAAGAACTGATTAAATCAGTTCAAAACAAAACATAAACAAATGTGGCCAATTCAACTTATAAAAAGCATACATAAATTCTATAATCGAAGTCATGTGAAACATATTTGACTCTCTGGTTAGCTCAACCCACAACATGCACCAATACTCTGCTTAACGCAAATATTTTAGTTATATCTATGTATATGTATTCAAAACTTCAAGTTGACGCATACGAGGCACATATATAATATGTATAATCATATATACTAATTGAGCAATCGAACAAGCAAAAAAGATTTAGAAACAGTACGAGACTTAGAGAAGAAAAAACGCAAAATTTGCTCAAGTATACAGATCATTTGCCTGGAGATGCAAATCTTGACCGCTCTCTATGTCTGCTCAAGCTTCTGTCTCTTGGTGATGATCCCATCCCTGCTTGCCTCGTAATCTCTGCAACAACATTTGATTTTTGAGTAAAAAGTGATCTTAGTTCCAGAAATGGTATACCACAAGAAATCAAATGGTGAAAAAGACCAAGGGCATGTGCATTACGCAATCATGAATCCATGAAAAAAATGCAGTTACCTTTTCGCTTTCTTCCGAGTTCTTGATCAAGCTCTTCCTTCCACTTCCTCTCTATCTCTGACAGTGCAACACTACAAAGCCAAAAAAAACAACCCAATTACAAAAACATTCTGGTTCCTAGTTAACGTCTAACGAATCTAAACCGCTAAAGTTTCTGTTAGACTTACCTCTGGCTGTTTGATTCCTGCTCAGCATCAGCAGCATCCGCATTTGCAAAGCGGAGCTACTACGGCTTTCAGGGCTCTTGGAGCGAGAGGCTGCATCTATTGCTCTAGAAGACGAACGTCCGAAACAGCCCTAACTCGGAGACCTACTGTAACAGTCGCATCTTTCAAAACCAAGACGGCATGTTAAAGTGCATTAACTTTCACCGCAAGAAACTACTTGCTAGTTCAATGCCACTTTTATTCTCAAGGATCGTATTCAAAACATCTTACAAAGACCATTTTAACTTAACCAATAAATCCGAATTTAAATAACGTTTCTAAAAATAAATAACGAATAATAAAACAAAATCCGCATCTTCCCAAAACCATCACCAAGCCACCAGACTACTCCTGAATGTCTACGCGCTCATCTGCAGAGGAAAGAGGGATGAGTATTCCAACAATACTCAGTGAAGGCGGGTTCTAGGGACCCACGATATACATCTCGCACATGCATAACCATTCCAGACGGAAGTCCTAAGCTAATACACATAGGCAAACACGTCCGAAGACACTCATAGATCAAGAAATGACATCACTAGACCTAACTGGTGCATCCACGCCTTCACCGGCGCATACCCCGTGGCATATAGCGGCCCACACGCTGTCCTTCCTCAAGACGCAGAGCTCGTCAAGCTGCCAACGATGGACTATGGAGTCTCACACACCTCCATATCCAAACCATACATTTTTAAAAGAGGTTCTTACATCTAATCCCAACCCGCAAGTGATTTTCCCCATGTAATACAAACACCCGCAAACACTATTCATACATCAATCAACAGTATTCTGTTTAACAACCTATGGTACAATGTTCATCAATCAGCAATCGCAAGACAATAACAATTATTATAGTGATATTAAGCGCTACTAGTTAGGTTCAATCAACAATTAAATACGTGTATTCATATAGATACATCGCAGGTATGCGCGGATTAACAAAAGACTACTCAGTATGTAACAACTATGAATCTGAGAGAGATAGATCACGCCAGTCCTCACCTCAGTCTCATATCGGAAGCAGAAAATAGAAATGGAAGGAGATCTGGTTACTGCAGGTCTTCGTCGAACGGATCTGGGCATTACGACGGCATGGGTCCGACTCCACAGGAAATAAAAAAGAATATTAGAAAAATAACAGATCCAGATCTGGAAAAAGTATATCCGAGAAACTAGATCTAGATCTAAAAAAGTAGATCTAGATCTGAAAACAAAAAAGACCCAGATCTGCTTACCAAGGCGTCTAATGAGAGAAACAACCACATATTCGAGAAGAGGGCACGAAGGAGAACGTTTCCGGTGACTGACAATTTTCCTCCGGCAATAACTCTGGTGATGGCGGCGGCGGCTCCGGTGAGAGATTCCGGCGGGAACAGGGCAGAGCTTCGCTGAAGAATTTTCTGGCTGAAAACTCTGAAAGGGACAGCTCTATTTATACTGGGAGGGAGGGGAAACCTAGGTCAGATTCGGATTGGACTTGGGCTTTGGGCTTTTGTCTACAAAAATTCTTCTGGGCTGGGCCAGGATGTCACACCTACTCTTCGGAGGTAGTTTCAAGAAACCATGAGGCGTCTCCTCTCGTTTATTGTTACTGGTATTACTCTCCATGTAGCTAGGAGAGCATGTGATCAAACCGTTGTAGAATTCTTCGAATAAAGGCGTCTGTAACTTCTTTAGATCTGTAGCCTACAGTTTAAGATATTTTTACTAACAAGTCAATGGTTGTAAACTCTGAGTTGATATGAGGAAATAGAACACTGTGAATGAGTCACCTTCTCATCTAAGAAAGCTTTGATTTTTGACTCGGTCAACTCATTTTCGTCCTCTGAGTACGATGGCTACTCAACTTCCATGCTAGTTTTTGTCTTTGTTTCTCTATTATCAGAATTTACGTCGAACGCACTCACTTCAAATTAGCAGAGATCTCACTCATGGTTTCGCAGCTCTGCGCAAACACAGTTCATACTTCATAAGTTGTGGTTCTAGAAATAATATGAAAGCATATTCAGAAAAAAATCTGAAATGGTACCTTCTTGGCATCAGTATTCTTCTTAAGAGTAGGGCCCGCCTCCCCATCATATGTCAAGAAATTATCATCGTCAATCAAACACATATCATCTTCATCATCATCATCATACCCGTTCTTATCTTTCCGCCATAAATTGTTATTTTGGATTGAAAGCAAGTGTACATCTTAGACTACCAAAGTTACAGATGTCTCCTACATCGTCGCATGTAGACATTTGACAGTAAGAAAAAAGAAACAGACAATCAGCAGTTAAGAATTCAGCTTAAAAGTTATGGCTTCAGCTCGGCACTTACTAGCTCTTCATGTCAGTTAACTCTGATGATAAAGGAATGCTTGACTTTTCCTGAAAGCATATACACACAAAAAGACATATCAAAACTCCTCAAGAAAAACTAAGCCGATATTCGATAGGTGGATAATGTGAACTTACCGTGACCGAAGTAAGAACTATAGAAGCAGACTCCTTTTGTATGCCGATATTCGATAGGTGGATAATGTGAACTTACCATGACCAAAGTAAGAACTATAGAAGCAGACTCCTTTTTTGCCTATAACAAACGGATGCTACAAATGAAAGAAAAGTAAGAATATAACGATTGGAATAATGAAAATATGTGACCTGATCGGATTTCATTACTCTGTTGACTATTCACCTTAAGCAGCTCAGAAGCAGTTGACCGCATATTCGGTAGGTGGATAATGTGAACTTACCGTGACCGAAGTAAGAACTATAGAAGCAGATTCCTTTTGTTTGCCCGTAACAAACGAATGCTACAAATGAAAGAAAAGTAAGAACATTACGACCCAAATAATGAAAATATGTGACCTGATCGGATTTCATTACTCTGTTGACTATTCACCTTAAGCAGTTCAGAAGCAGTTGGCCGCATATTCGGTTCTCTGCCAAGACAGGACACGATGTTTCAGCAATCCGCAAGAAAAGTAACAGAAGTTACTTTTGATTTCTAATCTATAAGTTATGAGTCAGAAGTAGCATACTTTTGCAGACACTTGAGCAAAAAATCTTCTGCGTCATAGGAGAGATTGTCAGGGAATGGAGGATGTGACTTTGTCGTTCCAATGTGGAAGATAGCAGCAATCTGAGAAGAAAACAAGTCCACATAAGTTCGGACTGGTTCGCATCGGTCACAAGTGATCGATACAGACGATTGATGGAGCATTTACTTGATTCTCATCGATCACTCCTTGACCGATACGCTGGCTTGCTTTCCATCGGTCACAAGTGACCGATACAGATGACTGATACTCCATTCGCTTGATTTCCATCGGTCACAAGTGACCAATGCAAATGACTGATGCAGGTGTTCTGTCTCTTCCCATCGGTCACAAGTGACCGATACAGATGACCGATTAGATTCTTCAACTCCTTTGCTGCATTATATCGATCAACACAGAACGATGGGGCTCGTGCTATGACCGATGAAATACCAGAAATCGCCTTCCTTAGCTCCTTTTGCTCCTTCTCAACTTGGCTAACTCCTTGAACCATTCCCACACTTCCTCCTTGCTCCTAATAACTTCGTAAGTACCTAAAAAAACATCCTTAATGCATAGAGAATGCAAACTACAACCTAAATGCAACCTAAGTCTAAAAAAGGAAAGTGGGACTAAAGAGAAAGAAAACATGCAAAAGGAGACCAAAACATGAACTAAGCAAGCCTAAATGATGTAAATGTATGAGATATCAACGAGCCAACTGACGAGTATGGCTTCCCCATATATGGATCGGAAAACTATCACTTTGATCCCACCATCCTTGCCACCTAG